TCCTGGAGGTCGCAGCAATTCCCTCGAAGGTACGACGGTAATTAATTTCTCATTGCTTGCTTATTTAAAGTTCCGAGTTGATACATGTACAGTTTTCTTGTAATGAATATAACAAAGTCCAATACAAACTTCTCTTTTTCTTTTCTGTCTTTTTTTTTTTTTATGAACTAAAGTTTAATAAAAACAACTTGTTATCAAATAAGTAAATTGGATTTAATGACAGTTATAACCTTAAAGATTGAATTCACTAATACACTAATAAGGAAATAACGTTTTATAAACTCTTTTTATAGTTAAATTTAAAATTTAAATCTTAAAATTAACATTTAAATAAATTAATTTCTTTAAAGGGAGTGAGCCAACATGGGGCATGTATCATTAATAGGACAATTATATATACACCCAAAAAATCAACACCCATCTCAACATTCAAGGTTTATGAACAATAAAATTACAAATTTACCCCTCCTCATTTTAGCCTTGGGTGTTAAGATGGGTGTGATTTTTTGGGTGTATGTATAATTGTCTATCATTAATATGTTAAGGTAAGAATTAGTTTTGATGGGTACAAAAATTAGACTAAAGGCACCCTAACTATAATTTTAAAAAAAATAAAAAATAAAAAGATAATGATGTGTGCACACCCGATCCCACACCCGAGTGTACACACCTCCACATAAAAAAAAAAAAAGATCCAACACCCAGTCCAACTTTTTTTTTCATGTGGAGGGGTGCACACCCGGGTGTGGGATCCGGTGTGCAGCTATCATAATCCAAAATAAAAAAGACAGGTCTAAACATACCGTAGCAGTTTAGGGTGTGACAATTCCACCTCCACATCTCACCATACCCCCAGTTCAAAGCCATAAGTTTCTTCTCATTAATTAGAACTAATATCGGTAAACTGTATATCTAACTCCTCCTTTTTAGGATTTTTTTTTTTTTTACATTAAATGATAATCTATAGAATAAAAGAAAGTTCTTCACTCTTCTTCCTTTCCTTTTATCATTTTTTATCTATTTCAAGATTTAAACTCAAAAACTTTAACCAAAAGTTTTAAGTTTTTAACCACTTAAAGCACCCCTTTGAATTTTTTAGAATTGTTCAATGAGAGAGAACCAACTCGTATATATAGCTAGAATTAATTGAAAGTGCAATCTAAGGGATTGATTGTTAATTAAACCCCTTTTATGGTTGTATCAAGCACTTATTCCATCTTCACCAAGGCAAGGGAATGGGCCAAAAAATGCCTAACTTTTATAATTATTACATGTCAACTTATGGGTTAAACGATTGGAAAATAATTGGTATACTATTTTGATATAATAGAAAGAAAATTACTGTCATGGAGTTTTGAAAGATCCAAACATCTCAAAGATAGAAAAGGTTAAATATACTATATAATACATTTATTAAAAATTATGATTTTTTGAACAAAAATAAAAAACAAACAAATTTAAATATATAATCATATATATATAGCATGAGGGTATACCAATCAATGTTTTAAACAATTAAAATATAGAAAACACTAAGAATTAATTTTCACCTGCCAACTTAAATTGCTATGGGCATATCATTAATTTGCATCTATAAAAAGGAACACTGATCTGTCAATAAGCATAGAGAAATCGGTTCTATCACCTAAATTATTCCTGCAGCATCAAGAATTCTCCTATCAATTCTGCAATTTAAGAACTCGTTTCCATCACCGTTTCCAGATTGCCAAATACAGGTGTATACAAAAATTATCTCTCTTAAATTACTTTTTTTTTTTTTTGCCAGAATTACCATTTCTTATATGTGTTTAGCTAATTTGGTATCATGATATATTGTTTTTTTCTTTTTATTTCATTGAAGATAAGTTCAAATCTTTATTATATGACGTGTGACTATTGCGAATTCGGGTCTTTAAAATGCCTTTTAAACCTCTCACAATAATCCTCAACAACAGTACAGCTTACTAGTGGTAATACACACCAATCCTGTTGAGAGAAAAATAACATCCGCCACAGCTTTTAACCAAATGATGTCTTTATTTTAATTAAATCAATGAACTTCCCCCTACATCGTCCCTTCTCCGATACACCATTTATACCATTCCTCCACATCCAAATATACCAAGAAAACCAATGCATGCACGAATTTCCCCACCCTTACTCCTACCCAATCTACCAAATCCATGCATGAAAAAATCTCGCCCAAAGAGTTGCTATATATTGCTCGGTACCAGCATCTCCATGCCCCACAATTTCATGGTTTCCATCCAAATCTTCCAAAGACATGTACAACAGTGTACAAGTACAAAATAAATGATCCCTCGTTTCCGCCGCATCACCACACAGCCCATAGTTCATTCCCCCCAAACCGTTTTTCTGTTGCAGCTAGTTTTTCAGCGGAAATTACAAAATATTTTTAGAACCATGTACAGAAAGGAAAATTTAAAAGAATATGTTTGGCCTGTATTTTTTAGGTTAAAACCCCTTTAGTCTCTCAAAGGGCTGAAATATTAATTTTGATGGACAAAAGAGGGGGATTTTTTTCAAGAGCTTCATACCAACTTGAGGAATCAAAACCATTTATATAAAATGATCATAAAAATACTTTAGAAATTAATAAAATTATCAAATTCAAGCATAACATTGCAAGATTTACTCCAAAAGCAATATATATAAATATATATATAGTTTCATATTTTGTAATTTAAATTATGTAGAATTGCAAAATATATACTCTTGGACAAGAGAGAAGAACTTAATATTAAGGACTCTTCCCGATACAAAAATAATTGTTTTACAATCTAAAATGTAAAATATTTTTTGATATATATGAAAAATATAATTTTGCAGTTTTAAATACTACAAGTTAAAAAATAACTTTTTCAAACATTAGCCCTTTTCACCAAAAAAAAAACCCAGCATTTCGCTCAATTGCAAACTTTTTTCCCGAAGAAAATATTTATGTTCTATTTCATATACAATTTAAATCTTTTTTATTTTGTCCTTTGCATGTCTATCTAATTCCATGCCATCTTACTCAATACCTCTTTTCTGTATTGGCTAGCTTATACTTCTCCATCATTCCAAAAAATGATTGCTGCACTTCTGGGCTACCTTGGATATCTCGTCATGGCTACTTACTTCCTCTATTCTTGCCATCTTTTCATAACCAGCAGGGGCGTACCTAAGTCCTGGCCATTGATTGGGATGACCCCAGCAATGCTTCTCAACTTCCATCGCTTGCTAGACCGAGTTACAGAGATCTTGGAGAAAAGCAAGGGCACATTTTTATACAGAGGATTTTGGTTTACCAACACAGACTTCCTAGCCACCAGTGACCCCCAAAATGTACGTTATATAATGAATACAAATTGTTCAACCTATCTCAAAGGGTCTGAGTGGAGGAACCAATTTGATATCTTTGGAGATTCCCTTTTCAATTCCGATTCCGAAGCTTGGAAACAAAAAAGGAATTTATTTCATGGCTTTTTAAATCATCGACAGTTCCATGAGTTAGTGAATGGAATTATTCCGCGCCAGATAGAGAAAGGCCTTATCCCCATATTGGAGCATGTTGCTGAACAAGGGCTGGTGGTGAATTTGCAAGAGTTGTTCATGAGGCAATCATTTGATCTTGCAACTATTATAGTTTATGGCTATAACCCCAAGTCTCTCTCTATTGGGTTCCCAGAGGTTCCACTTTGTAAGGCATAGGTGATGCTATGGAAGCAGCATATTTCCGGTACATCTTACCCAAAAGATTGTGGGAGTTGCAAAGATGGCTGCAAATTGGTAGGGAGAAGAAATTAAGGGATGCGTGGAAAGTCTTTGACTATACTTTTTCAGAATACATATCCATGCAGATTCAACAACTCAACTATGGGGATAATCGTGAATACCAGAGTTTCAGTTTTTTGAAGTACTTGACTAGAGAGGAGGTGACGAATAAACTTATGAGGGACTACAGTGCAAATATGATATTGGCATTTGAAGATACTAACAGCACAGTTCTTACTTGGTTCTTCTGGATCCTTTCAAAGAATCCTATGGCTGAAAAGAAAATCGAAGAAGAGCTTACTAGAAACTTGTTAGTTGAAGGAGGAGATCTACAAATCTTGAAAGAGATAAATAAGCTGGTATATCTTCATGCAGCATTATGTGAAACCCTTAGATTCTTCCCTCCAGTTCCTTATGAGTTCAGGACACCAACACGAAGTGACACTCTTCCAAGTGGGCATTGTGTCAATGAGAAAACGAGGATTTTGGTCTGTACATATGCAATGGGAAGGATGACATCGGTGTGGGGAGAGGACTGTCATGAGTTCAAGCCAGAGAGATGGATCACCGGGGAAGGAAAAATTAAACGCGAGCCTCCAAGCAAGTTCTTTGCCTTCATGTCAGGACCTAGAATGTGCATGGGAAAAGATCTTGCTTTTACTCTTATGAAGGCCACGGCAGCGTCTATAATTCTTAACTACAAGTTGGAGGTGATTCCAGGGCAGAATGTAAGCCCCAGGCCTAGTGTGTTACTCCACATGAAGCACGGTGTGATGGCTAGGATTAAGAGTAGACGAGTTTGAGGTTCTTAGTTTTCTCTTGAATGGAAAGTATATCTTTCAATTAATATTTGTGTGCATGTAGCAGACGGTCTTTGTTTTGCTCTCTTTGTACTTTCGCTTGAGTTGTCCTTCTTCAAGTGTTGTGTGTTGATGTTTTTATAAGGGATATTAATTGGTGTATTCTTTAACTTAATGCACTTTATAATAAATTTATTAAAAAATTATTATTTTTAAATTTAAATTAAAGACGATAAAATTTAAAATTACATTATAAATTATTCAATATATAGTTAAACTAATGAGTAAATAGCTTGACAATAAGGAGACTAACCCCTAAAAGTTGATCTTTTTTTTTCTTTCTTTCATTTAACTAGATGATATATTTGGAAAAAATTTGTGTTACAATGAAACCTTGGAATCAAAATCTTTAAAAAACCGTCTAAAACATCCATCTATAGCCGCCAATCCCACTAAAATTTTGGACGATTGGTTTTCATAATAACACATTATCCTTCGGCCGTATAATTCCAGTTCAAGAGCAAAGATCAAATCCCGTTGATTTACACCAAATCCACCCAAGACAGATCTGCCGTCCCACTTCTTGGTTTGTTTACTGCTGTTGCAAATCTACTAAAGAGGCAACTTACTTTGAGCCCCTCACCTTACTACATTTGAAGGTTTTAGCCCCTTATCTTAATTATATTATTATAATTTTAGTCTCTCACCTTATTAGATTTGTAGATTTTAGTCTCTTACCTATTAAAATCGAAGTAAATAATCCTCATCTTATACTGACTGTTAACTCTGTTAGTTAAAAGTAAATTTTTATCAATTAACAGTTAATTAATAACCAATTAACATAATTAACGAAATATTATCACATTAGTTCTGTTAATTCTATTAACTAAAAAAGGTTTTTGTCAATTAACAGTTAATTAACAATTAGTTAATAGAATTAACAGATAACTAATATAACTAATAAAATATTATAAAATGAGGATTATTTTTTTCAATTTTAATAAATAAGGGACTACAAATGTTATAATATAAGGTAAGAGATTAAAATTTATAAATCTAATATGATAAAATGTTAAAAATATCATAATAAATTAAAAAATTAAAATCTTTAA